CCAAACTAAACTCGAGGTAATTTGTTATGATAATGATATGATTATATCACATAGATAATAAAATTTTAAAATTAATATTTTATTAAATGAATAATTTTTTTTTTTTTTTGCACAGCAAAGATGAAATTTATTTCATGGAATACAAAAGGTACTCCTATCCATGTAAAAACTTACATTGAATAAACAAAAGCTTAGCTTATTGAACCTATCAGAACCTTCCAATATCAAAAACAGCAACAACAGACTCAGACAAAGGTTCAATATAGGTTCAATAGCTTGCTAACCATTACACAGCAACGCGTTATCAACTTTGAGAAGGCCAGCTTTCTTATTCCATTTAGCTTTTAAGCACAGGACCGGTTCCATCATCCATTCATATAAATTAAAGGAGTATCCCTTTACCTTAGCCTTGATCCAATTGAAGGATCTAAGCTGCACAAGTTCAAAGATTATGTTGACTTCATCCTCATAATTTTTGAATATCTTTACATTCCTTTCTATCCAGAGGAACCAAATGATAGAGAACCAAACCATGTCCCACCCCGCTCTCACTGATGGTTCTTTGAAGTATGAAAGGTGTTGCTGGAAACTTTCATAATAGGTTTTAAGCATAATAGATGATGTCCTCCACCATTGTAAGCACTTGTGCCACACCAAGCGAGCAACTCTGCAATGAATAAACAAGTGGTTGCCATCTTCCATGTTCTCGCCACATAGGCTGCACAGCACTTGGTTAGGATCAGTTATAATGCCCCTCACATATAAATTGAGCTTTGTGGGGATTCGATCTTGCAAAGCTTGCCAAGCGAATGCATTAACTTTTGTAGGAATAATTTTGCTCCAGATCCTTTTAGATAACCCTGTTCTGTTGTTTTGGTTGTTGCCTAAAAGAAGATCATATGTTGTCTTAGCTGGATACACCCCTTCTTTGTCATACCTCCATTCCCAACGGTTTTTTTGATCTTTGACAAGTTGTGATTTTTCCAGTAGTCCCCGAAGCTCTATAACATTGTCTTTCTCCCATTCATACAGTTGTCTTCTCCATTGTAATGACCATTGCCAATTTCCCTTCTTCCAGTTGCCCATTTGGCATATTCTTTTTTCTTCATCTGTAGACACAAGGAATAATCTAGAAAATTGATTAACAAGAGGTTGATCCCCAATCCACACATCCTTCCAAAATCCGACTAAATTACCATCCCCCATTTTTAGTTTGAATCCCTCTTTGAGCCATCCCTCCTTGTTGTGTTCCATGTGGTCTAACCTACAAATATTTTTCCACCATAAAGACCCCTTTTGTCTACTCTCTTGTTGTACCCATTCTAGCCAATTACCATCCACATTTCCATATTTCTCCTTAATGACTCTATATAACAGACTTTCATTCTCACTCGCCATTCTACTCCACCATTTGCCCAACAAAGCAAGGTTGAATCTTCTAAGCTCTTTAATGCCTAGCCCTCCCTCCACTTTACTCCTACAAACTTTGTCCCAACAAACCAAGCTAATTTTTCTTTTTCCCTCACCACTCCCCCATAAAAAGTTCCTTCGAATTCTATCAAGAGAAAGAATCAAACCTTTTGGGAGCAAGTGCACGAACATGAGGAACATTGGAAGGCTCGACAGCACGGAGTTGAGGAGCATGATCCTTCCACCAAGAGAGAGGAACCGACCCTTGCATGAGCTCAATTTCTTCTTAAATGTCTCAATCAAAGATTTCCATAAAGCAATGGTTTTACAATTGCCTCTTATTGGTACTCTAAGGTACTTATAAGGAAATGTTCCTTGTTTGTAGTTCAGAATGTAGCCCATCTTTGACATCCAATCTTCAGAAACATTTATGCCCATGAGTTGGATTTTTTTGAAGTTAATCTTCAAACCCGAAACCAACTCAAAGGTTCTCATCAGACATTTTGCTTCCCATATATTTTCTTCTGCAGTCTTGCCAAACATAATCATATTATCTACAAACTGTAGATGAGACAATTTCATGCCTCTGTTACCAACATCAATCCCTTCAAAAAGTCCCCTGTGCACTGCTATAGAAATGATGCCATTAAGGCCTTCAGCCACTAGTAAGAATCGATAAGGAAAGAGTGGGTCCCTTTGCCTAAGGCCCTTACTAATTTTGACTTGTCTAGTAGTGCTGCCATTAAGCAAAATAGATACCTCCGCTGTCTGCAAACATTCATTGATCCACCTTCTCCATTTTGGATTGAAGCTCATTCTTGACATCATGTACTGTAAGAACTCCCAGCATACTTTGTCATATGCCCTTTCGAAGTCAAGGTTTAACACGAAACTTGGCTTCTTATTTCTCTTTGCTTCATCAATTGTTTCTTTGGCTATAACAATGTTGTCCACCATTTGCCTTCCTCCAACAAGTGCCATTTGGCTTTCTCCAATTATGCCATCCAACACTGAACTAAGTCTATTAGCAAGGAGTTTTGCGATCACCTTATACATGACCCCAATTAAGGAGATGGGCCTAAACTTTATTTTTTGGGGGTTAACAACCTTTGGGATCAACATAATGAAAGAACCGTTTACTCTTCTTATCAGTTTTCCATGTTTGTGAAATCAGCCACAAAACCCATCATGTCTTCTTTAATTTCCTCCCACATTTCTCTTATAAATTTAAAGTTAAAGCCATCCAGTCTTGGTGCTTTCGACTAGTCACAACTCCACACTGCTCGTTTCACTTCTTTTTCACTAAATGGAGCAAGCAACATTGAGTTGTCATCCACTGAAATCTGTTTAAATACAATCCATCGAGGTGAGGACGTTGCCACTTATCTTCTGTGAACACCTTCTCAAAATAGTTGGCCACTTCTTCCTTGATCTTATTCACCTGCTCTAGGTATTTATCTCCAACCTATATGCTAACTATTTCATTTTTTCTTCTTCTTCCCTTGACGCACTAGTGAAAAAATTTGGTATTTTGGTCCCCATCCTTTATCCACACATTTTTGGCTTTTTGGCGCCACATGCTTTCCTTAATTTTCTTGTATCTCCACAATTCTAGAAAGTTATTCCTTCTTAGTTCCACATCCTCAACAGATAAAGAGGTCCTTTCTGCTTTCATATCAATGGTAGCAATAGAATTCGTACATTTTTATATGTTAGAATCCACATCTGAAACCATGTTCTTACTCCAGTCCTTCAAATATTTCTTTGTTTCCTTTAATTTTTCTTTCAAGCAATATCCATTCCAACCTGTGACCTTTGTTGACCTCCACACCTCCCCCACAAGGTTCTTGAAACCTGGTGCCTCAATCCACACGTTAAAGAATCAGAATGGTTTAGGGCCACAATCAAATATCTAATTTTTCAGCAAGATTGGGTGGTGATCCAACATTGTTCACTTTAGTCCCCATTGTTTGACGTCCCCCCAAGTGATATACCATTGTTAAGAAAGTAAGAACATGTCCAGTCTGCTCATAACTATTCCATTTGACTTATACCATGTGAATTTTTGACCTATTAATGGTAAATCAATTAGGCCACAAACTCTAATAAATTCATCAAACTCCTCCATATCCCTCATGCTAGTTCTTCCTCCATTCCATTCATGCTCATTTCTTATGGCGTTAAAGTCCCCCATTAAGCACCAGTTACCTCCCACCTTCATGATTAGATTCTTCAGGCTAGTCCATAGAGCCCTTCTACCAAGCATGTCACATGGAGAATAAATATCCACAATATGTACAGGAATTGCTGAAATCCCCCAGAATCCAAACACCTCCACAAAACTCTCCACTTCAATTACTTTTTCTTTCCTCAATACATCACTATTCCATATTCAGATTAAACCTCTGATGCCCCTCTAGATGGTTTTACTTCCTAATCAAAATTATCTGAGCCCCACATGTTCCTATACAACTGCTAACCCACCTCCTCTACCTTTGTTCTTGAATAGACAAAAAATCAACCTTCTCTTTGTTAACTAGTTCTTTGACTCCACTATTCTTTCCCTCCCCTCCTAAACCTCTAATGTTTACTGACAAGAAAATCATTTTAAATTGGTACTAACAATCCCCTTAGTAACATCGTTAGTAACCTTTGATTTTTTGAACAACTCCATGTCTCTGTCCTCCATGACCTTTAGTCATTGAATCACCTCTGTCTCATTACCACAATCTCCAGCTCCAATCTCCTTTGCAAAGGCCCAAATCCTTTCCACACTGTAAGACTCATGTGCTCTTCTCAGATTCTCATTCATGTTTTCGATGCCGCTATCATTAACTGATTCCCCTACTACTTGGTTTTTTGATCATGGGTGAAATTCAGCATCATTTCCTCTACTTTTTGCTCTTTTGGTAGTTTCTTCCTTCTGTTTGAATTAGGTCAGCTTTCCTCATTCCTTCCTTTCATGTACACAGGCACACAAGTCCTCACTTTCTTCTTTCTGTTCTTGTTTAGCTTTTTCTACTTTCGACCTATCCACTCTTGCTCTTGACCTAATTCATTCATAAAGCCTTCCCAGAAAGAAGACTCCTTTGACGCCGTGTGTGCTTGGGTTGAG